CATCTCTGACATAGAAATTTCCGGAACGGAATCAAGCGAACCAGGCCTGGCTATAAAGTTTACTCACAGCAACCTCATTCTAAACCGCACATAATTTTTTTTAGTAATAATAATAATACAATGATACGGAAGTAGGGGACCAATTATAAGCACAAAATAGTATTTATGATCAGCATAAAAACTGCTCCAAACCGCAAAGCAGATACTGCAATAATAAATCTAAGTTGTCAAAGCATATACCAGCAGAATGATTTACACTGATACAAATATACCTGAGAATATAACTAATACCAGCCCAAAACTTACTAACTTAGTTAGGCATTATTGACGTGAGTCGTCTATGGCCACGCCGTGTACTCTCCATTCATCGATAGCTCATACAGCTCATAGTTACATTTTATTCGAAAATCGTTGCCTAAGAATTTTTCTGTCCAATACTAATAACGCTTTCTCATCATCGATTACAAATGTGCTCTTAACTTCTAGACCATACAGCAGAACAGTCTTGATAGGAGGCTTGTAGAGTGTAATTTTTGTTTGTTGAAAGAGGACTTTATTTCTCATTTACCTACTTAGCCCGAAGTAACATCTGTTGGGAAAAATGATTCTTCGTTGGATCTCTAGGCTTTCATCATTTTTGGTGTTTACGCTGGTTTTGAGATAAACAAAGTTTTTCACAACTTCGAACTTATAACTGTCAACAGGACGTGGGTCCTCAGACACTCAGGAGATTTGTTTGTTTACAGAAAGTACTTTGTTTTGTTAACCAAAAGACCCATTTGCTTCGTTTGTAATTCTAAGTTGGAAAATGCTGCACTGACACTCACGCGATGATATGAATATTATTGACATACGCCACAAATATTACGATTTTGTAGAACATTATGCCAGTACGGTTATAATCTACTGCTCAGATGATCATTTCCAACATTAGATTAAAGTAGTCACACGACACCCTTTCTGAAACCTCGTTTGGTATCGCACGGCTCGGAGAGGTTCTTCCCGATTTTAACGGAGCTAGTAATGCTGCTCAACGTCATTTTACTTAGCCGTATAAATTTTGCTGGTATACTAAATTCAGATAAAGCGGCACAGAGCAATGCTCAAAATTCAAAACATAACCCAAAACTAAATGCTAAATCCAGCCAAAATTCTTGAGTGTTTAAAGCCAACAAGGTTAGAGAAGATTTATTGGATTACTTTATACTAATAGAGAGATGTACAATAAATCTTCTGTATTTATTTACCTCTGTATTGAAATTATAAAATATTTCATCAAAGTAGTCCAATATTTTGGACTTATGGATTGAATTGTCGAATAAATGCAATGAATTTTTATTTATATAAATTTTCTTTTGTTTTGTAATGTTCAACTCATCAAATTTTAGTTTTGTATATATCTAACATACAGATAGATTTGGTGTTTAATTATGTTTGGACAACACATTTGCAACATCTTGGAATACCGCCCGTACTTGCAATTCCGTTTATGCAGAAAATACCACATCGAAAATTTGGGTTTAATGACTAATTTTTACAAGCAAACTTTAGGAGAAAATTCCCACGCCTCCATTTTGGATATTTTAAAGTATTTGAAGGTAGCAATCTATTTATATTCCTTGTTTGCGTCTATGTTGTCATTAGTAAGTATCTTTACTTTACTTTACTTTACTTTGAAATGTCCCTATAACAACAAGAAATGTCTTTATGTTTAGATAGTTTACATGAGAAGATTCGAAGACTTACTCACACATCGATACAGGAGTGTCTATACTTGGGGTCAGTATAGGAAGGCTTTTAGTGTTTCTGTTCTTTATATGCTGGTTTTTTACAGAACCGTAGAAGTTAGTAGAAAATTTAATGTTTAATATCTTCGATATTGATTTTTTTTTAATTCGTTTAGTTTGATAATTGGTTCATTGATCTAATCGGAATAGCAGTTATGGCATTTGAAATTTTTTTTCTCTTTATTAAAAAACTAAGTGGGCAGTCTGTTAGAAAGGACACGTGGAAAGTTTGCAAAAATATATTTATTAACATTCTTATGGAACTTGTATATAAGGCATTTTTTAATTTTTTCGAGTCTACCTAAACACATATTCAACTGGACCTCACTGAAACGTGCCTTTAAATATCAAGTAAGTAAGTGGTGTTTGACAACACATTGTTTTATTTGTCAGATATACAATGACATAATCTTATAATATAATGTATATATATATGATATAATATAATACAATGTTATTTATACATGTGTATATATTTATATATACATATATATATCAGTGACATATACAAAGAAGAAGGACAGATTAAGGGATAGATCCTCCATTAACAATATAATCTACAGCCAACATGGTGCAAACACACTAGTTTAGGTTAGGTATGATATGTATATACATTATAAAAAATAATTTCGAAGTAATTATCATTGAAATATCAGTAATATTTTAATCATTGATTGCTGTTTTGAAGATTGCCTTCCTGTTGGAATGTACTACTCCTATAGTATTATGATAAAATTTCATTTAGTCCGTAACATGTCGTGGCCAATTAGAAACTTTGTTATCCTTAATTTGCAACTGAATTGCAATTCTACTGAAGCAGTTAAGTACTGTTAATTCACAGAATTTTATATTTTTAATTAAAATAAATGTGTTGAAAACTTTTCATATGTTTGTATTAACAATACGAAAACTTTAATTATTTTATAGATTTTTTTCAGAATGAAAGTCCTCCTATCATATAATCAGCACAACCAGTTAAAAGGATTGTCTAAAATATTGCTTAGTAATTCTTGCACATGTAAAATGAACTATACGTGTAATAATCTAATAAAAAAATTTACTTATATAGATATAATATAGAAATCTACTTCATAAGAGTAATAAAAATTGAGTTTTTAATGTGATCTATGAGCAAGTTTACTAAGAGAAAATATGAACGTGATCATAGCAACGGCTTTGATTTATTTTTGTTTATCTATTCTTATAATAGCCAAAAGCATTAAACATTAACTTTTGTATAATGAGTAATTCCGATATATGTAGTAGCTATTAAATATATAGATATTTCCCATAATATGAGAGACCTGACCATTGCTTTCGTTATGTTAATACTGGCAAAAGTAAATACAAATGCGCTATGACAGTTTTTAGTTATAAAAAACAAACCTGTCTGCTAGGTCTACTATTTTTCAAACGAACATTGTTTGTATCAAGATATGCGATTCGCTGAACTTTCTTAAATGTCTTAAAGGAGTGTAAATGAATATGTATTCAGACTCTCAAGCTGCAATACCCAGTTAATTTGTCTAACCCAGGCGCCATTTTTCAGGACAACAAGTTGATAACAAAACTTACTTCATAGAACACATTAGCCATTTTAAATATTAGCCGTAGGAACTTAGCGCAGCAATACAGTGAACTGCTAACTAATTGAATAGTGAACCAAACCTAATGGAATAGAAGACATTTCGGCATTTGAAATTAAATCCAAAATATTAGCTATAAATGACAACTTATCATCAAACGCGAATAACAACTCCCAGCCTATTAAACTTTTCCTGGTCCAGATGTAAACTGCACAGTCACGGATAATGTGTCTAATGGTTTCATCCGCTTCAAAGCAGACTGTACATATTGTTACCTGAAATGGATCTATCTAGGTTATCAAACTGCTTTCTATATCTAGCAAGGAAAAAGACTTTTAGTTACCCGCCTCAGCGTAATGACATGCAATATTGTTAAATCACTTTAAAGTTACTTAAACCGTAATAGTCCATTAACTTCAAGTTCTACTAGCACAACTGCCGCTTTCTGCTTATAAGCCCATCTTGCCGATTTCTGCTCTTCCTATATAAACTAGTGTAAGAGTTAGTTATTAATTAGAAATGTCTCGACAAAATATATAATAGTATTCGTTAAGCCTACATTCACTACATATACAGTGAAATTCCTCATAACGGACAGTTCTTTTAACCGGACAGTTTCAATAGCCGGACAAATTTTGTGGACATAGCAATTTCATTATTTCTTTCATACAAATATCATTTCAATAACCGAACGCTCTAATAACAGGATGCGGATACTACATTTTAAACCTATTTGTTTAAAAAAATATCTCATAAACGGACAAAATTCAAAAAAAATTACCGAAGTTTTTTAAAAATATGCAGTTTCTCATAATACAAATTCTATTTGCATTTACGTAAAAAATTATTTATTTTAGTGACCAATAATTAACTTTGTAGGTATGATTTATAATTACTTCGATTAAAATAGCCCAAAAAATCGGGTTTTTCTTACGCACAATTTTTCAAACATGGTTAGAGATATAGAGCTGCTTTTAGTTATAGCTAAAGCATCCCACCCTCTACCATTTAAACATATGCTTATCACGGAACAGCCAGTGAATTGGAAATCTAATAAAAAAGCATGGATGACTCGAGAAGTAATAAACGAATGGTTGTAGCAGTTCAATGAGAAAATAGAATCGGAAAATTCTTTTTTTTTTTTTGGACAATTCAGCATGTCATCCAAGGGAATTAAACTAAACTAATATAAATATTGTTTTTTTTTCTGCAAACACAACGGCAGCAAGCCAACCACTTGATCAAGGGGCAATCCAAAATTCTAAAAATTTTTATAGGAACTTAATTCTAAAACACTTGTTACGTGAAATTGATACCACAAAGTTAGCTTCAGAGCTGTCTAAATCTATTATGTTATAATGTGTTTGAAGCTGTTTCTTTTCTCAAAGCATCTTGGGATAAAATAGAAACAACAACAATCCAAAATTGTTCCGTAAAGCAGGATTTTCAATTGATAAAAGTCTTAGCGATTTTGATGCTGAAGATAATATTCCGATCGCAATCTATGCTAAATTTCACGAAGGACTAGATTAGGCAAACGACTTCGACAGTTTTCTTCAAATAGACAGAAATGTTTAATTTTTTTATACTCCCTTCCATAAGCGGACATCTCCCATAACCGGACAAAAACACTGCGATGGTGAATGTCCGGTTACGAGAAGTTACGTTGTATAAAAATTTTTCAGCAAAGAAAGGAATTGGGTGTCTTCCTTTCAAATTAAAATAGAAATACAATCATAAAATATATATATTTTAGTTAAATAACTTCACACTAAAAACCGATCTTGTTGTTACAGATATCGATTTACATAGTTCTATAATATTTCTTGATGAGTTTATTATATTGATTGCCCGTAAAATATTCTTCATATACCGGAAATGAAAATAATTTGTCGCACTCGAGATTCAGTTGTTCATTATGCGTATTAAGTGATTTTAAATAAATAAAATATTATAAACTGCTTTACAGAAATAACAAAGAACATTACTTAGAGAGATAGATAGTTAAAAAACACGGATGTAAGCATCCATTTTGAAGCACAGCGAACAATCACAAGAAATGTGATTACATTTCCTCTTACAGGAAGTGAATACAATCTTTCATCTCAAATAAACCTATTTTAGACAGATGGTAACGCATGTTGTGATGTTATCTCACGCATCTCATCATCGAGTTTATGAAAAGTGTTTAGTAAAAAATCATGCAACTCATGACCGAGTTCAGATCTGCTTTACTGGGGAAATGTTTAGTAAAAATTTTTCACTTTTTGTAATTCAGAAACTTAAAAGCACTCACAATATAATTTACAACAGTTAAGTGAATATTTATTCGTTTATGTATTAACAATGCAAATGATTTAAACTTTTTAATGAAGTTACATATTGTAACTTAAGCACTTGGACGATTTGAAATAAAGGCTAACCATTCGGATACAATTTTCGAGAGCAAAGGATTTGGTAGTATTGGTGCTGTGGGGGGTTCTACTTCAACAGGTTCTGCTTCCACGGGTTCAACTGGTTCCACAGGTTCTGTTTCAACGGGTTCAGCCGGAGCGGCCGGTTTAGTTGGTTCAGCCGGAGCAGCTGGTTCAGTTGGTTTTACCTTCTCGGCTGGCTTAACAACAGCTGCAGAAGCGGGTACTGCAGAGCACATAAAAGCCACAGCCATCAAAGCTAGGACTAAAATTTATAATTATTTATTTAGAAAAACATTTAAATAAAATCTCACAACTCACAAGGCAAAATTAAACCGCGTGCAAACATTTTGAGTATTTTAGTAATTCTTAAACGATTTTTATGAATGAAAAGTAAGCGTAACACGCACTTTTAGCTTTAATGCTCTTCCGCTCGATAGTTCGCTTTTTATACAAACTCAAAAGTTTTAGTTTTTACCGCAGACCAGCATCACAAGATCTTGTGGTAGTGACATTATCTGCGATATCAAAATATCCGCAAAATAAATTATTTATTTTGCTAATCAGAAATACAGCAAATATTTTTAAATATAACTACTAACATTTTTTAAAAATAAATTAAAAAAGATAAAATATTAAATTATTATTTCATTATTCATAGCGCAAACAAACCCAAATATTCTAAGAAATGAGACCCGAATTTGGTGAATCTAAAGTCTGTGCCAAAATCAGTTCCATGAGAACACGTAGAAGAGTTCATGGAGTTCAAAATTATTTGCTTTAGATTGGATTAAATATGCCAGTCAGCAGATATGACAACTGCAAATATTTTCCGAAATGAAATGTAAACTGCAAGTTTTCGTTATAAATTAAAATTCTTTTTATTATTCAGTTCAGTACTGCAAGCAATATTTTAGCTTAAGTTCACCTAAATCATCTTTTGAGTAACTTTAAAAAATAATTACGAGATGTTTTCCAGCAGAGTAAAAATACTAGTTTTCTGTAAGTAATTTATTAACATTTCCTTAAAATTATTTAATTTTTCCACATTATCTTTTGTTAGTTTTGATTTGTGCAGTTTGTGCTGTTGCAGCACTTCCTTCACCACAAACCGAAGAGCTCCCTCCGCCTCAGCCTTCTCCAGAATCGTCTACTACTGCACCCGTTGTACCTGATTCAACCAGGAGATCCCTTTTGTCACAGGATAGTTCAAGACTTTTGGATGTCTTTCTAGCTAAGATTATAGAATCTTTATTGCAACAATTCCCCTAAATATTTTTAATCAAAAAGTGGATATAAAGAATCAAAAACAGAATGTATGCAAAAAAATTTTAAAAACAAAATAAA